AGCTATGTAGATGTTATGAAATGAATTCAAGTGATTTGGAGCCTTGAAGTCTGAGTAAAAGTTCAAGGAATTAAGCCGGGATCGTGTTTGGGGGTCAACGGATGATAGTTAGAGCGAACGAAGACTCGAGTAGGCATATTGCGCACTGTTTAGTAAAATATACATAACTTTTTGCTCAGAACTTTATTTGGGATCAACAATATATGGTTGGAAAGCTAACTCAAAGGGCTACAACTGTTATGTTTTACATTTTTCCAAATTCGAAACGGAACAGGGTAAAAAATGCGCGTCAATAGCGCGATCGAGCTCAGGTCGCGCTCGTCAGGCAGAACACTGGGCCACTAGCGCAACCACTAGCGCGACCACTAGCGCGATCGCGCTAGTCAAACCCGGGAAAAGTGTCCTTTTTCACTTTGGAGAAGGTATAATTGGTTGGGCCCAACCCTACATGGTATATATACATGGAAAAACGGTATTTTGAAGGAGGAGGACGTTTTTGAGAGGAAAACACAAGCACAGAGCCGCCGTGGAGGCCGGGTTTCATCTTTTCTTCCACCAACTTAGTCTTTTTATGTTTCTTTGTATGATTTTTTGTTTTTCTACCATGTCTATGTGGAGCTAAACTTCACGTTCTAGGGTTGTGGTTCTTTATAACTATTGTTATTCGGATATTGATTTTGATTGCTTAGTTTATCATATTGGTTTATTTATTTAATCCTGCATTTAATTATTTAATTGCTTGATTACCAATTGAATACTATCTAAGAATCTAGAGTTGAACTCGAAAGTGGGAATTCTAGATTGCATATAGGATTGAATAGAGCAAGTTCTTGAACCTGGGCATCGGGTAATGGATTCGCGGTTGGGATAGACATATACCTAATTGCCTTGCTTGGTTGATTTACAGGAATTATAAATGCGTTCTTGTTGATCTAACTCCATTGACATATAGGCGTTAGGTTAGCTTGAATAGGCGAGTAAGAACTCGACAGATTCTTATGAGCAATATTAACCCATTCAACCAATAAACAAGATAAATTAGTTAGTCAATTCAATTGAAGATACAATAGGAATGTTAGATAGCCCATAACCCCAGATTATTTTCATTACATTGATATCATAAAAATCTGCTCTTTCTCTGTTTAAAGTTCATTATTTATATTTCTTTATTTAATTAGTATAGAATCAAATACTTCTAGGTTTAATTCTTGTATAGATAATTAGGATAGTCTAATTTAGTTAATAGTTAATCACAAGTCCTCGCGGGATCGACATCCGACTTTTAGTCACTTTATTACTTGACGACCGCGTATACTCGCGTGTGCGTTTGGCCGCAACATAAGGTATCTAATGAATATGTTGTAGTTAAATGAATTGAAAGAAAGTTCAATGGCATCTATTTCATATAGGTATGCTGTCTAGTAACACGTAGCAGTAACAATAGAAATAAATGAAGCATTTGAACTCATGCTTTAATGGCAGACAAGTGGTGTGTGTGTGTGAGTCTCCTAGCGACATGATTTTTAACAGTGTACATAGGAATTGAAAGGCATATATAGCAGTTTGGATAACAAATAAATCATATGAATCCTATAAGCATGCTTGCTACCCTTCCATGCAAATACTAAGTATACCCGTTTCCTCATTTTTACTAATACCCCAATTGTTTATTACACAGTTATTACATACCCAATGATAAATGTGATTACAAAATATTATGAAACTAATGACAGTAGGCCCACAACAGGCCCAAAATGAAATACCTAACATTGCTTGGGCCTTCAACAACTCTTACATAGCATACCCAGATTTCCAACAGGGAACTATATTCATTAGCACAACCCAGAATCCATAGAAGAACTCAAACCAAACCAAACAACCATTGATGGACCATATTACCCAGACGTTGAATCACTTAAACCAACCGGTTTACATATTCAGCAGACAGTAGGAAGAAAGAACCGAGTGTCAGAGATAGCTCAGATCTCAGTAGTAAAGAGAGTGGCTAAAAGACCCCAAATCCCAGTGTGTCAGAGTTCACAAGGGTCTCAAATGGACCCCGAGCAGTGCTCACAATAGGGAGGTCAATGGTGAGAGTCTTGGTGGCCTTGGCTTTCAGCCGGCGAAGAATGATAGGTTCGGAATAGCACAGGTAACAAATGAGAGGGAGTGGACAATGGTAAAGGGACAGAAGTTGAGGAAATACACTTATAGCTTAGAAAGCAGACATAGAAATGTTAAAAACACAGAACATGTTAGTTTAAAAAGGACAACAAGACTTATAGGCAAATGACTATTATAGGTTCAACACTTAGCAAGGAGTAACACATTGGTAGAAAGCACATTGAGAGTTAGAGGAGAATCAAGTTCCCTGAGATTACAAGATCAGCCAGATTATCATACTAAGGTGCATATTATCTAACAAGTCTAAGTAGGGCATAAATTAAAAGGTTCAAAGCTTAAAGGTCCAAATTATGCTAAGGGTTCGTCACAACACCAGAAAACAGACTTACCAGTCCGTTACTAGGAAAAACAGTTTTAAACATTGTCAAGAAACACATACTAAGGTAGCCATCCTAGAGGTCTTACACAATTACTAGGGATATAGAATTAAGCAAACAAAGACATATTGAATGACACAATAGCAGGGAAGCAAGTCACAGTTAATAATGAAGGTTATAACACACTACAGATGTGAGACATTCATTATAGGGATTCAGAACAAAGTAGTAAAGCAAGCTTATGTCAAATAACAAATGTAGACATTCAGGTATCAAAACAGTAGACTAATATGAACATAAGAGGGTCTAAATCATTCAGGTGAAGCATATTCAAATAACATATCTCAGAACTAGCAGCTTTAGGTAAAATTAAATACTAAAGAGGTTCAAAACAAGTGCAAAACTAATAAGGTTGTATACAGAAGTAGCCCAGAACACATTAGCTAAACGAACTTAAGAGGGTCCCGAATTATTCAAATTAGCCATAGACACGTTTCATAACTGGCAGCATTAGGTGAACTCAAGTGCTAGGAAAGTTCAGCTTACAAAACCGGTTCAAATGCTAATATATTAAATCATGAAGTTCATAGGCATGAATATGCAGGGGTAAAGAATAAAATTGTAAAGCCAAGAGACTTACAGTTAAACAAACAATGAGAAAGAACAGATTATGAATGTCAACAAAGAGCAAGAACCCCATAATCTTAATGCGTCAAAGTTCCCAAGGGCTTCGAAGGAACCCCGGGCAGTGCTTGCATCAAGAAAAGGTTGATAAATTGAATCCCGGTAGCCTTGGCTTTTAGCCGGCCAAGAACCAAAGTACAGAACAAGAGAACGAGAGAATAAAAGAACAATAGCTTCAATTTTAGTGAAATCTCACGATTAAGGTCTGTCTCAAAAGGGAATAGGGAGAGGTTTATATAGTAGTTAAAAATTAACGCATAAAGTAAGGAAATACAATAGATTAAACATAAAATAAGGCAATATTCCATGCAAAATCAATTAGAATCAGTTTTAGGGCAAATCCAAGAAACCCTAATTTAGACGAGGAACAAAAAAATGGCAAAAAATCACACTGAATCGAAGTCATGGGGTCTGATAGTTAGTGGATAAGGTCAGAAACATGAAGATGATACAAAATCGAAATCAAAAGAACACTAATGACTCAGCTTCCATAAATAATCAAGTACCCAGTACTTGTAGCATTCAAAAGATGGGTAAGTAACTCTGTGTATGCAAGAAAGGAAAGGAATCATGGATGATTCCATGTAATGTCGGATTGGGGCTGGGATCTCAATGAGGACGGCTAGGGTTTAGGTTTGAAAGATGAGAGCGTGTGAGGATACAGAGGCAGCGGGTTGGTAGAAAATGGGCTAGGGTTTTGGGTAAGGGGTAATATAAAGAACGGGTAGGTTAATTATGGGTCGTTGATCATTTGAGATCAACAACCTGAATCACAAGGGGAACGGGGCAGGTTATTTGAAATAGGTTCTGTCTGGGTTATAATTAAAGGGGTCGTTTGGTCTTGGGCCAGGGTATTGGGCTAAGGATATTGGGCCAATTTGGTCCAAAAATTAGATTAAAGCTAGGTTATTATTTAAATATACAAAAATAATTTATAAAAATACTTGATAAATAAGTAAAGATATTATTTATACACGAAATGCTTAAAAATTAATAACTTTGTTTTATAAAAATATAAAATGCTATATTGACACAAATAATGTAAATAAAGTGCATTTCTGTATTAGTATGGGCATTACTGCAAAATTGTGCAAATAACTTAAAAAATACTAATGTAATTATGTAAAATGAGGTAAAATATTTGAAACATATATTATAGATGAAAATAATAATTTTAGGTAACTAAGTCATCACAAAATAATTTGAAGGAGTAATTAATAATTATTCTAGTAATTTAAATACAGGAAAATCAAAATAAAAGCTCTAAAATTATGAAAAATTATAGAAAATGCTCGTATAGGTTTGTAAGCCAAATAATGATGCAAAAATGATGTTTTGAAAGTATATATACTATTTGAGAAAATATGATGGCAAAATTGGGTATCAACAATAGCTATCAACACTCAAGTACCCATTCAATACTTCTCTGTAAGAGAGTGATTTTGCCCAATTTGGCCTCTCAAGTCTAAATGGATATTGAACAAAATAGTTGATAAAATTCTCAAGTCGGGTTTTACTATCTCTAGATTCAACTCTTTAATTAGGACTATAAATCTCTTGATTTCATCCCAAATTCTTGTTAGCCAAGTTTTTCTAGACTAAGTCTCTCTTTCTCAAGTAGAGACCAAGTCAAATAGGCATGAACTAATATTTACAACCATTAATTCTACAATTAAAAGCAAGAACAAAGCTAAATAATAAACACCCAACCATAAATTAAACACCCATTAGGTTTACATACTAGGGTTGGGTCACAATCCTAGTTAGAAATCTAGTTACTCATAATGGTTATGGAAGAAAATAAGAAAGAAAAGATGATAAAACTCATATTGAAAGATTAAAAGACAACACTCCAATGTTGAATCACCAAAGTAAGCTAAAGTTTCCAATAAGGAAAAACGGCTACAGGAGTTTCAATATTCAAAACTTGACCTAATTTCGTGAAACTAGTCTATTTATAAAAAGCTGGAAATTTCGGACAAAATTGCCCTTTCGCAGGTTTTGCGGCCGCACAATACCATGTGCGGTCCGCACTTTTTCTTCAATATTGATAGGAGCTGGATCTGCGGCTGCATAATTCTGAAATGCGGCCGCATCTCTTATGTTTTGCGATTCGGACAAATCCTGGTGCGGCCGCACAGGGCCCTTCTGCGGACCGCACAATTCTGAGTGCGGCTGCGTGACTGACTTCTGCAGCCGCACAATAATTGTGCGGTCCGCATTTCCTTTAGGCCTGAGATGTTAACCCTCTGAACTTCTGCTCTTGGTTAGCTTCTGCGGCCACACATTACATTAAGACTCTGATGGATTTCTTTCACATTCTGTGTTCGCAGATGGAAATTTGCTGTCCGTTTGGGCCTTTGTGCCTGATCTTTGTCCTTCAGTTCAGATCACTCCTTTTCTAAGTTGGATTTCATCTTTGTGGCTCATTTCCCAATACTCCTGCAATTAAGCATATTTTATCAGTTTTTGGGGTTACAATTAAATACTTTTGGACTAAAACGAAAGCAAAAAGTCGCTAATAAGTAGTCAAAATCGCCACTTATCGCTTACCTCGTTTCCAAGTCCACTTTCTGGTCTATAAATCACTCTAAAAGCCTCACGTCGGTGCCGAACAATCTGAAACTAGCCAAAGGTTGTACAAACTAATCAATAATTGCTCAAAAGTTCATAATTTAACTATTAGAGTAGTTTCCCAACCCAATTTAGAAGGTTCCTAAAATTCACCCCAGGCCCATGTGCCCAGACTTCGGAAAGTTTTGTAAGTAATTGTTACCCATAAACTCCCGAACATAAATTAATAATTTCTACTCAATTTCATAATTATTTTCGTGGTCTAATCCCATTTATATCAAAACCTAGGTTTTTCAACAAACTCCTAAACTTTCCATGTCTTACATGTTAAAATCTACCAAATTCTATGTATTTAACATACATTATATAGAAATCAAATACCTTTAATAGCTAGGTGAAAACCCCTCTCCAAGAAGCTCTAAAATCGGCTAAGAAATATTAGAAATGAACAAAATGGCCAAAGTTCCATTCTTATTAAAGTCACTACCCTGTTGACCCTTCTTCGAGATCGCGGAAGAAGCCTCGCGATCACGAAGGCAAAGCTCCCAGGCTTAGGAAAGTCTTCTTCGCCATCGCGAGAAGACTCTTGCAAACGCGATGCATTCAACCGCCGTCTCATCGCGAATGCCGGCGTCCACTTGCGAACGCGAAGGGAAACTTAAATGCCCAGGCCCTGGCCTTCTACGCAAACGCGACGAGGCAACCGCGAAAGCGAAGGCCATTGGTTCCAAGACTTCGTGAACGCGAGAGGACCTCCGCATTCGCGAAAAAGGAAATCAAAACCAGCATATCAGCAGTTTTGGACATAGCTCTAAGCGGTCCGAAATGCACCTGAGCCACCCGGGACCCCGTCCAACCGCAGCACCAAGTCCATCAACATAATAAGGACCTGCTCGAATCCTCGAAACATGTAAAACAATAATGAAACTAAGAACGCACTCCAAAACCAAATTGAATCAACTTATGAACTTCAAACTTCTCAACAAGCTTCGAATGCGCCGAATCATACTTAGACTACTCGAAATGACACCAAATTTTGCGTACAAGTCATAGATAACCATATGGAACCAACTTCAGTGAACTAGAAAACCTTCAGTGAACCAACTTCCAACATTAAGCGCCGAGACGCTCCCGGATCAATCGAGACTCGATCCAAATACACGCCCAAGTCCAAAATTATCATAGAACCTATTGGAACCATGAAATTACGGTTCCGAGGTCTTTTACTCAAGATGTTGACTGAAGTCAAATTTGGCCATCTTAGGCCACTATTAAGGAACTAAGTGTTCCGATTTCAACAAACCCTTTCAAACCCAAATCAACAATCCCCGCAAGTCATAAAACAGTAAAAGCACATACAGTAGTCTTAATTAGGGGAATAAGGTTCTAGAAAGAAAAACGACAGGTCGGATCATTATATTCTCCACCTCTTAAACAAATATTCATCCTCGAATGGGTATAGAATCATATCCGGAGTGATGAATAAGTGTGGATATATGCTCCTTATGTCGTCATAGGTCTCCCAAGTTGCTTCCTCGAATGGTAGACCCTTCCACTTGTCACAGCCCAAACTTGGGGGGCCGTGGCTAGCACTCGGTGTCGAGCTGGCCCGAGCAAACCACTCTGTAAGTTTTTTTTTCTTCTAACAATCATGGGCCAACATGGCCACAACATGTAATGTATAATATAAGTGGAAAAATACTGAATTAATGAGCTGTCTTTCTTAAAATATGAATACATATGGACCGTCAAGGCCTCTGACATACTGTACAAAATGAACCTTTGTCTACAAAGCCTCTTAAGATTATTTGACATCAAATGGGTAGGGTACCGGACTACCCATAAGTCTGTAGCAAAACTCTGACACGATGACTCATAGACTCGGCTGCACTCCGAATGAGGTGGAGTCTTACCGATCCTCCGCTGAATACTAACCTTGTATACTATGTGGGCTCGTCAAACTAATTATCTATACCTGCAGGCATGAGTGCAGCGTCCCCAATAAAAGGACGTCGGTACGAATAATGTACCGAGTATGTAAGGCATGTAAATCAGTATATAAAGGACATGGAAGAAACATCGAGTAAAGGACTCAACCTATAAGTCTGGATAGCTCTGTAAATTATGAAATATCTATAATGTCATGCATATGCATATAAATGTCATGTAATGCATAGGTNTATATATATATATATATATATATATATATATATATATATATATATATATATATATATATATATATACACATATATATATACACATATATATATACGCGTATATACACATATATATACGCGTATATAACGCCATAACATCATCACGCCTCTGAAGGCATCCTGTCATATCATCTCGGCCACTGTGGGCAAATTATCAATGTATACCGGCTGATCAGGTGGTGGTGCGTATATAACGCCGTAACCTTTTCCCATATCCATATACATATATACACATATATACGCGTATATAACGACATCTGGTCATAGGTCAATATAAATAAATGCAATGCATGAGAAGTACGATAATAAAATCTTTCGGAGTGTCATAACACCATTATGCCTGTGATTAATATCATAAAATCAGTTTACATATTTTCTGAGACCCATGAACAGATGATAGAATAATATGACACATGGGGAATCAAGAACATAAGCATCTCTAGTATTTCTATGAATAGAGTCATTTATGGAAATTGTGCATTTGCTCGTTTCGTTTGTATCGTATAGATCATGCCAAAAGAAAGAAGGGATAGCCTTAACATACCTTAGCCGATTCTCTTGACAATCTTTCATCATACGCCAATTGTGACGAAACACGTAACTGCGGATCGAAGCAGGGAAAAATCCGTATGAGCCAGAGCTTAGTTGCAGAACTATTAATCAAGTCAATTTATTTGGGATAGGAAAGAAAAGAGTTCATCAAGAGCTTTGGAGAAATGAAACCGTGTATTCCTACAGATGCCATATAACTCCTAAGAGCTAATTTTTGGAACTATATTGTATACACGAATGGGATGCAATAGATCTCAAATAGAATTTCGTAAAGTTGATCGGAAAGTCGTTTCATGACTTTCTTAAATACACATTGTGCATGTTTCCAAAAAATTTGCAAACTTCTTTTTTAGAATGACGCACTTCCAAACACATTTAAGGTGGAAAATGAATATTAGATTGAAAGAGATGGTAAAAGAAAAACTAAAAAGGCTGCAAAAGATAAGGATTAAAATGGTGACCTAAATAGTAAGTTCCACTCAATTAGTCATTTGTTGGCTGTGGCCTTGTGGTGTGTGTTGATGCAAGTAAAAGTTTCATACTTTAAAAAAAAAAAAAGTGGAAAACATTTTCAAACTCTTCTTAGAACCTAACTTCCAGTAACAATTTGCTTAATTAGAACCAAAAGCTTCCATTCACATCCGAAAAGGAACAAGACATATAATGTTCATGAAACTAACAAATCAATTTCACTAGCTCCACAAAATAAATGTTGTAACAAATTAACTCTATCCTACGTGCATCAAAAGAATTTGACAAAATACTGATTTCAAGTAGCAATTTTGCTTCATAATGAGTCTAGAGATGAATCTGGATGGTTTCGTAACAATAGGAAGGAAAGGGGAAAGAGAAATGAGAATGGATACGATTCTTATGTCTTTAAGACATTTTAAAGATTCCCTTTTTCTAAAATGGCAATGACTCACGTTAAAAGACTTGTTCTATTCTCTAATCTTGCCACATATTTTTAATGACTTAAGAGTCATTCATGGAAATGGGGAGGGTGCTGCCACGTGGGGGTGGGAGTGAGAAATGTTAATCTTTATCTACTTATTAGATAATTAGGTAGTGTCTCGTTATCCGGTAATTAGCCAATTACCCGTACAATTAAGAATTTTCTTAAATTACTTAAAATTCTACTTATTTTTAACAAACTTTATACATCCTACTATCATGTTCATGTGGTATCATATAAAATAAATACATATACTATTATTTCATTAAAACGTCCATTAAAAAATACTTATATTTTCTCAACTTATGATTTTTCTAATCTCATAAAAAAGAGTACAAATTTTCGTATGCTTATTCTTAAAATAGTAAAAAGATAACCTTCTTTTCTTGTGAGAAAATAATTTTTATCTTTACAATAAAGAAATTCTTTTTTTACTATAAATTCTCAAAACGGAAAAAGGATAACTTTTCTTATGATAAAATACTATCTACTCTTATAATGAATAAAACCTCATTTATAAACTCCCACATGTCATGTATATAATTTAAAACTTATCACAACCATATAAAATCGTATCTATCAACTTTTACCGAAAATGGTTTACTTCAAGAAAATACATATCAAGCCAATATATAGTAGTTTCGAAATTCTTCAAACTTACAGGGTCTTACATCCATATCTTCATGTATAACCTTAATCCCTTCCAACTCATATATTATTACTTCGACGAATCCTAACGTTAAGGTACGGGATGTAACACCACTGAACCTTTACCGCAGAAATCTTCTTGGTCCTCAATTGGCGAACCTGCCTGTCAACAATAGCTACTGGCTTCTCCTCAAAATCCAAGCTCTCATCTAGCTGAACCGTGCTGTAATCTAACACATGCGGCCCGTCGATATGGTACTTCCGGAGCATAGACACATGGAAGATCGGATGAACTCCCGATAGACTGGGAGGCAAAGCAAGCTCATAAGCAACCTCCCCAACTCAACTTGCCCTTTTTTCCTATTACACCCCGTAAGTTTAACAACCTTGATATCGATATATATATATATATATATATATATATATATATGTGTGTGTGTGTGTGTGTGTGTGTGTGTGGTATTTTGAGTGGAACATTTTTGTAAAAAAAATGGTTTGAAAAATATAATTTTATATTGTTATTAATATTACTACTTTCGTATATGTTTTAAATTATACACGTAATATAAGAAAAGTTTATGAGATTTTCTTTATTGTAAAGATATGAATTATTTTTTTTCCACAAATTAAAAGCTAGATGTTTGACTAACCTTTCTGCTTGATGTATTCTGAGTAAGGTAAAGTTTTGAAGTTTTTTTAGACTTTCTAAGGTCCAATTTTCGCCTGGAGAAACGTAATTTTTTTTTATAGGAGCTAGCCTCTTTTGTTGTAATATTTGCATCTTCTGTATCTTATGAATGAAATCTTTACCTGATTAAAAGGATACTTTTTGAATCTGATTGACATTGTTGTTTGTAAATATAAGCTTAATTGTAACTTTTTAAGTTTCTTTTTCCATTTCTGTTCTTTCTTCTTGCAGTATGTCGCTTATTCAAATAGAAAATGGTTTTATGAAACCAGTAATGTTGGGTTAACATTTATCATGTCTGTTTCTGAATTTTTGCACTGTCTATTTGGCAACTCATAAAACAATTAGATTTTTCATCACCCAAGAAAAAAGAAGGTTATTTTTTTTTTTTTTTTTTACCATTTTAAGAATTAAGCGTACAAAATTTTTTACTCTTTATATGAGATTAGGAAAATTATAAATTGAGAAAATATATGTATTTTTACATGGATGTTTTAATAAAATAATAGTGTATGTATTGATTCATATGGTACCACATGACCATGGTAGTAGGGTATATATAAAGTATATTAAAAATGAGTAGTATTTAAAGTAAATTGAGGCATTTCTTAATTATGCGGGTAATTGATTAATTACCAGGTAACAAGACATTACCTAATTACCTAATAAGTGGATAAAGATTAAACTTACCCATCCCATCTCCACGTGGCAGCCCCCCTCACCTTCTAATTAATAACTTATTAGTCATTTAAAATAGGTGTCACATTGTTAGAAGATTGTCTACTCCAAACAATGTTCAAATTGGAGATAGCAACCAAAAGTTGGTTGGCCATAGCATAGATCTTGAATGTTCATCAAATAGATCTTCCAATCTTTCAACTGTCTCTAGTGTAGTGTGTTTATTTCGGTGCTGTTCTCAGTTCCTGCTGAACCTTCAGTGCACCTTGATAAAAATGCTTTCCCACGAGTGGGTACTAAAAAAAAAAGGTTGAGTGTATGGTAGAGGATGCTTATGACTTTCTGGCCTCATTAACTGCACATTTTCATTCAGCTTTAAGGATTTGGTTGCTGGCTAACAATTCAACTTCACTTGATGAAAAGCGAGTAGAAGAAAGGTACAGTGAAAACTTTGAATGCAAGGAAACTAACTTGTGTGAGTGTCGAAACTTAGGAGACAATTTAATCAAGCTAAGAGATTGTGATTGTCATTTGAAAGGCAATGGCATAACTGAGAAATGAAAAATCTTCTCAGAATTTGCCTCAGGAGCTTGATACTGAGTTTATCCTTAGAGATGGTGTACTGATCAACTTAGACAAGAAGGATGTTTCTACTCTTGTAACATCGTCATTGCAATTTTAATGAAGTACAGTGCAATCTTTCTCAAAGAATATCATACAGATTTTCCTACTCCAGGTATGTTAAGGTTATCCCTTCTTTCTTTTTGGCATGATCCATACGATACAAACGAAACGAGAAAATGCACAAATTCCATAAATGACTCTATTCATAGAAGTATTAGAGATGTCTATATTCTTGAATTCCCATATGTCTTATTATTCTATCGTCTGTTCATGGGTCTCAGAAAATACGAAGTTGATAAAGTTTGTTTCATGATACTAATTAGAGGTATAATGGTCTTATGACATTCCAAGAGATCATATTGACTTACTTCATTACACATTGCATTCATTTATACATGTGCATTTACCCATGACTCAGACGGCGTTATATACGCGTATATATGTATATGGGGTATGGGAAAAGGTTACGGCGTTATATATGCATCACCACATGATCAACTGGTATACGTTGATGATTTTGCCCACAGTGGCCGAGATGATATGATGGGATGCTTTTAGAGGCTTGATGATGTTATGAACACATGTACCTATGCACGACATGACATTGATATGCATATGCATGACACTATAAGTATTTAATGATTTACAGAGTTATCCAAATTTACAGGTTGAGTCCTTCACTCCATGTTTCTTCCATGCTCTTTATATACTTATTTACATGCCTTACATACTCAGTACATTATTCGTACTGACGCCCTTTTGTTGGGGACGTTGCATTCATGCCTGAAGATATAGATAATCAGTTTGACGAGCCCTCATAGTAGACGAGATTGGCATTCAGTGAAGGATCGGTAAGACTCCACCTCATTCGGAGTGCAGCCGAGTCTATGTGTTATCGTGTCAGAGTTTTTCTACAGACATACGGGTAGGCCGGTACCCTGTCCCATTTGATGTCTATTAATCTTAGAGGCTTTGTAGATAGAGGTTCATTTTGTACAGTATGTCATAGGCCTTGATGACCCATATGTATTCATGTTTTAAGAACGATAGTTTATTGATAAAGTATTCGCCCACTTGCAGTTATGCACTATGAGTTGTGGCCATGTTGGCCAATGATAATTACAAAGAGAGGAAAAAATCGAAAATGATGAGTTACAGAGTGGTTCGCTCGGGCCAGCACAGCACTGGGTGCCAGCCACGCCTCCCCAGGTTCGGGGCGTGACATCCCCGAACCTCATGATACCCTTTATTGGCGAGACTTTCAAGAGAACCTTATCGCCCACCATGGGCCAATAAATCACACGTCTTTTGATCTGCATAACTCTTATGTCTGGATGGTGCTGTGCGAAGTCGTTCTTGAATCAACTTAACTTTCTCCAAGGAATCCTTCGCTAAATCAGTGCCATATAACCTAGCCTCACCGGGCTCAAACCATCCGATGGGCGAACGATATCGCCGATCATATAAATCCTCAAAATTTAGCCACGTCAATGCTGGACTGATAACTTTTGTTATAAGCAAACTCGGCCAAAGGAAAGAATCGATCCCACTACCCTCCGAAGTCAATCACACACGCTTTGAGCATACCCTCCAGAATCTGAACTGTCCGCTCTGACTGCTCGTCGGCCTGCGCATGAAAGGCTGTGCTGAGCTCTACCTGGGTGCCCAACTCGCTCTGTACTGCTCTCCAGAAATGCGAAGTAAATTGAGGGTCTCTATCTGAAATGACAAAAACAAGCACACCATGCAAACGGACAATCTCCTGAATGTAAATCTGGCCAATCTCTCTGAAGAGTACGTAGTCATAACCGGAATAAAGTGTGTCGACTTGGTCAGTCTGTCGATAATCACCCAAACGGCATCAAACTTCCTTAACGACCGTGGCAACCTAACTACAAAGTCCATAGTGATCCTCTCCCATTTCCGTAATTGTTTAACCATCTGCTGGAGTAGGCCACCTAGACTCCGGTGCTCATACTTAACCTGCTGGTAATTTAGACACCTCGCTACATAGTCTACTATGTCCTCCTTACTCTACTGCCACCAATAATTCTCCCTCAGGTCGCGATACATCTTCGTAGCACCTGGATGAATAGAATAATGAGAGCTGTGTGCCTCCTTTAGAATCTTCTCCCTCAAGCCATCAACATTAGGGACACATAGGTGACCCTAGAGTCACATAACACCATCCTCACCAATAGTAACCTCCTTGGAACCACCCC